AGCGCGCGAAACCAAAAAGAAACACTGAAGAACGGCACAGCATGCAAGACCGCCTAAATGACTTTTTCTACATGTCGTGCCAGAACATCCTTCTAACAGTGTTCAAGAGACCGGAACGCACGATTTAGCTCAGTGGCGGTTCATTTGTGAAACATTTTCTTTGGATAATATTGTGGCACTATCGCTCACCAGGATACCTCTCTCATCAAATTTTAGAGGATGGGGCCGTAGAATCCTAAAACTTCTGATTCGGTTAGAGCAACAAACAAAGGATGTTTTGGCTCGATGCCAGAGAAATCGGAAATATCTTCCTTCTGAAATTCGGTTACAGATTACAAACGCTGTGCACAGCTCAAATATTAAAGCAACTGAAGCAGCAAGCATACCGACGAAGGTACAGAAGCGTAACTTGACTGCTGCTTTAATTGACTCTGATGTAGGACTAAACGAAGGTTGGGACGCACCTTGGCAGAATCAATTTGCAAACGAGGTATCATTATCCCATCAAAAAACGGGTAGCTGCCGATCTTCCATCGGTCGGCATTCTCCTACACGTGACGCCTTCACCCCACTGTGGGCTCAAAGAGACAGAGAAACTTGTCTGCTTGTACACAAATGCTCAGGGTCTTTCTAACAAACTGGCGGAAATGAAAGATCGCCAAGCTTTCGAGTCATGTGATATCATTGGTATCTCCGAGACATGGTTGCACACGGGAATGACGGACGCTGAAGTATCGCTACCGGGTATGTCGCTGATCCGGAACGACAGGCTCACAAAAGGAGGAGGGGTAATCCTGTATTACCGAAACGACTGAGAGTGCGAAGCCGTAGAGGATTCAGTCTCGCAGTTCCCCGCCTCTCTTTGGTGCCGTTTGCAGTTAAAAGGCAGGGACGCTTGCCTTACTGTCTTGATGTACCGCGCCCCTAACTCATCACCCGATTACTACCTAGCGGCTGATTTAAGATGCAGTTTGCAACAAAAGTACACTCACGTTCTTATCATGGGTGATTTCAACGTACATTGTGTAGAAATTTCTGCCGTGATCGAAGAACAATTTGTACAAAAATATGTGGCGTCCACTTATTATCCTGCCTGGTGAGCAGCTTTCACTAGTGAAGGAATTGGTCTGAACTGTGACTTTGTAGCAAAATATACACAGACGTAACAAAAATGATTTTGGTCATTAACGCAGTAGCATCTTTGCGTCATGACCAATTATTAATTAAACACAGATGTCAAACGACTTTGGGTGTCAGATGTATATCATGGCAAAAATCACTTCTTTTATTCGGTTATGGGAGCCAGTGGACAAATCACTGGCGAGCATTCGGTGCCTGAAACGTACTGCTTAAGTGTTATTAAAATCTGAACTTCAATGAAAGCCTGACGTGATAGCAACTTTTAGTTCGCATATTTGTAATCAGCTCATTCGGTACTACTAGCTACATCCTATCTCATATCTGTTGTGATAATGATGTTGAATAGAGTAATTGGGGAAAACGTTCCAATTGACGAACGTATAAGTAAACGCATACATGGCTGCAGTCTAGGCAATAACACCCGGTATTTGAGTAAAAGGTGTCTGTGCTCACAGTCATTTAATCAAAGGAATGCACAGCCAGCAGATGACTAATTATACTGCAACTCAATAACTAGACCAAAAGCCTAAAATATTCGCTAAAGCATGCAAATATTAGCATTCAAAGGTTAGATCTCTTGCGGTTGTTCCATATTTCTTTCTGGAATGTTGCGACAAACGTCTCATCAATTTAGTCTACTTTTGGAATATTATTTGTTTTACCTGAACGAATAATTGAATTAGTAAGCTATTTGAAAAAGATAACAAAACTTATTAACACTAACAAAAAGATTTTCGAACGAAATTGTGTAATTTCTTTACGCTACGGATTCTTGCAACGCTGCTTTCAAATTTTGATGTGGCAACTAAGTATTTGGCGAAAATAATTTCAGTCCTGTTCTGGGTTAGCGACAGAAGTTTAAGACCGAATTTGAAGCCATCAAACTTGCAAATGCAAACATTTTGGAAAATTATCAACCAGGTCTGCTTGAACGTCAAGTTTTGCTAATTTCCGCTGTAGTCTATTCTTATGATTTCCCATCCTTTTCAATGTTGCGTGTTCTCACAACACATCATAATACCAAACTTATCACTGCAAATGCTTTAATGAAGAAACGTTAAACCATCTTAATAAATAAAATTAACACTGTATTACACTATAAATTGCAAGGGCGGCTGACAAATAGTAAAGGTTAACAAAATAGTAACAATTGTGCAGCTGTCAAATAAATGGCACAGACTGGTGGTTGACAATTCAACATGAAGTCTACAGTAAAATCGGGCGATATTTCATAATATACCTTTAGATATGAGCGGGAAGAAACAACATTATTTGCTGTAAAATGAAATTCATGTAACTTGAATCTTTGATAGGCTGGCTGGCTGCACACTCTATCTGTGCAAATTTTGCTGCTTGGGAGGATAACCAGGGTCGTTTGTTGAACTGCTATTTATTGGGGCTTATGAAATTTTTTAATTTATGTAGTGTATGTGCTATAGACGGGCAAAAATCCACAGTACTTTACACTCAACACCAGAGCGTGGAATGTTTGCAGTTATGATCAAATTCGTCCCAAACTGCGAAGGGTTAAAACTCAAGTAATTGTTTGGAAAGGTGAGAATGGGAGTAGAAGGCTAACTATGCGTTTTCAAAGTTCTATGAAGGCGAAAGTGCGTTAAGAGCTAATAAGTCGGCGTCTTCGTTCCTTTTGACATACGAAACATACCTAATTTTCTTATAACTTTGCAAACTTCTAATCTTCCTTTTCAGACAGAACTATCCCTTGCTCTGCAATCACTTTCGGAGAAAGCTCGTACCGGCACAGAATACATTCAACGTTTGCGTTCCAAAACGGAGATGGTTAATGTAGGTTGCTTGATTTAGAATAAAATTTTGAAGTAAATCCAGTAGCAATCTTTGACAGATTAGTTACCATTAGAAGGAAAATAAGAAAAGACACTTATTACTAAGACATGGAACAATGTGAGTTCTATACGTAGGATAGATTTTGTCGGAGTTTTTCATCTCTTATCCTTTGGCAATACATCCATATGCATTGGTGATGCCGTTATATATACAAAGCCACTTAATATTAATTGGTGTTCAGAAACCGCCAATAGTTTGCTCAGTTTAATCTTATCAAAACTACTGTCTTCAACAGATGTCACCTAAATAAAACGTAAACACATCAGTTGTTGTAGTGGTTTTGATCATCATCATGTAAGTGATCAGCGGTTAATGTTATAACATGTCTTTTTGTCAAAGTATAAAACTTTATGTATTTTGACCTTTATGGTTATTTTATATTTCGCAACATTTTACATGCTTATTATGCGCAAATGGCATCAAATTTGCATATAATGCCAAAAGTTCAGGTCAATTAAGCGAAGTATTATTAAAATAAGATTTAGAGTAACAAGCTATGCAATATAGGTACAATATGTGTTTGGGTTAACAAGACAGATTTGCTATGAGGTGCATTGTTGAGTTCGGATAAACATGCATATACATAACTGTAACCTTTTGCGTTATATAATAATTTCAATTCATTCGGTTGTTGGAGACTGACAAACAAGAATGCCTCATTGGTGCATAAAAACGAGTGAAATTTGATATCACCAAATGAACTTTAAATTTATGATACAAACAAATTTGCACCAATAAAAGAACCAGCTACAAATATAGTCCTTGGATTTTTACATTGCTCAGGAAATATACAGGATGGAAAAGTTAAAGAAGTATGTGTTAGGTTAATGAGGCCTGCGCGCCAAGTAGACTGTTCAGTAACAAATACTAAATTTTCTGAAACCTTTTGTACTATCATCAAGTAAAGAGTAAAAGTTTATGCACCTCATTTATACCCAAAAATTTTCGGACAGTTGGACCAGTCAAGCCACATTGATTCGAAAAGTACAGAAAACTGGCTCGAAGGCGATGTAGATTAAAGAAAGAGTTTGTGTTGTTTGGCTCTGTAGAATAGTACGCGGCGCACAAGATGCAGCGAAATATCTGCAGCATCGCAAAGACATAAAAGCGCAAAAACTTCAAACAGCCGTTTGCAGCCATAGAAAAAGGTGCTCCAGAAAAGATCTTTGTCTAAGTGAAGCGGCGCCAGAGACCTTCAGAAAATTTGTCAGAGTTGGAGGGTTCAGATGGACAGCCCCATTTTCTATCATGTATTCTGCGTCCGCATTGGGGACTCAGCTCGCTTCTGTTTTGCAATTGAGCAGGTGTCAATACCGAGCTTGAGGGGTACTCCCCAGTGGAACTTGATAGTCTGAAATGTAGTATTTAATAAGTACGCAATCCACTGGCCGGTCTTTAAAGAACCAACCGTGGCCGTCAGATAAAATCCACTCATCTATCCTCATTTTGTTAGCAGCGATCATCGCGTACCGTGACTTAGCAGGTTGCTGTCAAGACGTTTATCACCCAGGGACTGGGGCGGTCGCAAAACCAAGATCAAAATGCAATGACCAGAGCCAAGCCCTTAACTATGGGTCTATCTATTTATTCTGTTTTGGAAGCACACTTGAGAATACGGTTATTCTGAAAATTGTCGACTTGAAAAGCCACTTGACACGCGCAGCATGGTTTCCGAGAGGTTGCTTCTGTATTACCAGTCTAATTTTAACGGGGTACGAAACACTGCAAACGCTGAACCAAATGAAGTCGATCGACTTTATTTACATTGACTTCAGTAAAGCTTTTGAAGGGGAGAATGAAGAGGTCATCATGAAATGGAAAGCTTCGTGGTTTTAGCGGCATGCTGTGCTTATTGCTCAGGAATTTCCTTATTGGTTGAATGTGAATGGTGCAGGTCTGACTGCCAGGTACCCTGTAAACAGTGTGGTAATTAAACAATGCATCCGATGATTGCGATCTGATTCAGCGGGAATTTAGCCACTTAATCACGTGGTCTGCCGTGTTCGACCTTCTGGTAAGTCCTTTCAATTTGCTGTACATGAGCCTGGGTAATGGTGAAAATGATGGACCCTAAAATGTGGCCCGTCAAACTATGCATCCAGCAGAATTCGTGTAGGATCTGATAGTAGTATCGCGCTACGACATTAGTCCAAGGACAAGCGGAATAGCCCTACCAAAACGGACCTCGTATGGTTCAAACTCTCAAGCAAAGTTTAAGCATTTGTTCCGATGCGATTGCTACGCACCTATTGGTATCAAGCATGCAATGGACAATGATTTCTCACAGACAAAAGGCACACGCAAGAGAAGTTGCGTAGGATGGATGGAACAAAAATTAAAATTAAATCGATCAAAGGTTGAGTTAATCTTCATTTTAAGCGCATACCGATTCAAATGCACAGCTGAATAACGATAGTTCGAAATGGGATTGAAATGCGCATGCACAAGACAGCATGGAGAGCAATTATGTTTCTTGTAATCCGTGCGTAGTACAAATAAAGTCAATAACAACGTTCACACACGTGCCGCTTAGGTTGAACAATGTGATATATTAATCAAATTAAGTTACATCCAAACCATTCACAAAAGCGCTTATGAATGGATGTTCACCGCTACACTGTTTAGGCAACTGCCAAAAACATAGTTTGTTTCATGTAGTTTCATCATCTGAGTGAAGTCGACTATGTCGAGTAATGCAAGTAGGAAAGCTGTTCAGCAGGGTTTTTTTAAGAAGTGTTAATACAGCAGAAAGTATGAGGTGAGTAAGAAGGGCGCTCCAAATTTGGGACACCCGGAGGGATAAGGCATTTAGCCGACAATGAAGTTGATTGTGGTGCGTGACCATGTTAATTTGGCCGCTTCTCAGTGTAGTATTTCGACTCAGCTGCAATTGGTGGAAACCAGGGTGAAGTTGGTTCCTCAGTATTAGGTAAACTATGATGACATCCCATTGTAGAATTTGATATTTACGAATGTACAAACTCAAGGCCTGCAGTCGGCGTTGGTAGGGAAGTTGCAACAATCTACAACCTTGGGAAAACCAAAGCGGTGGTCCAGCGATCGCAAGTATTTTAAAAATACAGGAAGGCGGCGTCTACTCCCACTATGTCATCAATTGGTTCTGTCCAGCTTACTGTGGCTAGAAGTAAGTTCGTAGTTCGGGAGCTATTTCGGCGAAATCCGGGCTGCTTTGACACACTAATTTTGTTTCGTTCAAGTTATCCCATGAGCGTTTCTGCTAACTTACCTTGAATAACTTTGGATAACAGTGGGTGGAGAGTGACTGGAAGGCAGTCAGAGGGCACCGCACAATTCCCACTTTTGTCAATAAGTGACACTACTTGGGGTTTCCATATTGTGGAAACCTTCATTTCATCAAGAGAACGTTACAAAAGCCGAGCTAATATTGGGCAATGTTAATGGCGGCTTTCCGTCGGATGTCCTACACGTCAAGTGAGCTGTACACGCGGAAGGAGGTCGGTCTTTCCATCATATTGCTGACATGAACGACACATTTTTCTACCCAGATGGCAGTTTGAGCTGTGTAAAAAGCGAGTGAAGTGATAAGTTACTTTGAAAAGTGTGAATTATATGTTGGCGAGGTTTCTTTGGCCCCTCTTGTGTATTTTGTTCCAGACAATCTGTTGCACATAAAATGGAGATCACGCGCTGCACCCTGTGGAGTTTGTTGACGTGTCTGTACAACAACTGTGGATTGGTACTAAATTTTGCCGCTATGTTCTATTGGTGCAGGGGTTATTCTATACGGATAAACTTGACAATTTTCGTTGTGTAAGCAACCTAAGTCTGGTTCTTCTGACAGGCTTTGTAACCTCACAAGGCGTAGTACTTTATGACCATGCATTTTATAGTGCGGCTCCTCAGGAAAGACATTTGCTTCGAGAAAAAGACCGTGCATGCTGACAAGTTTTCCACTGGTCCGGTGAATTTATGACAAATATCATTTAGGCGACGTAACGTGGTTGCACTGATAGGAAGGATCAGCCGCTTTCTTGAACTACGTCGGACGGGATAGCTTCGTGGGTGACTACTTATGTTTTGTCCTTGATATCACTGATATATTCCTCGCAGCAGGTATAACAATAAAGCAAATTTGTGTGACAGCTACGGCCTTGGGGTGCACCAATTTTTACGGTGTTGGCCATCAACTCCTTGCAAGTGAACACATGATGCAAGATATTAGGTGCATTATTTGTTCTAAATCGAGTGGGAGAGCTGATATGGTTGTACATAGGTACATTGGCGAGTAACACTTGCAATTCTGTCTTAAATATTTTGCTGAGGGTTGCAAACTTCGATCCCGTGGAGGTTGTAGTCTGCAACAGAAGAACGTGACTGTTTGGTCGTGCCAGGACTTGCTTTATCGCAGAAGATAGGCAGCATTCCGTTTTCAAGAGGACATTAGTGGGTGGTAAACTATTGCTCGTAAAACCACATCACGATGACTTAGGTGCATACGACACCAGAGAAAATAGACAACTTACGTTCCTTAATGGACGAGGATATCAACTTTCAGGTGAACTCGTTAATACAAGAGAGTTCCGCGTCCTAAGTTAACCCGAATTTTTTGTGAGGAATTCATGCCAGGTAAACATCCTGAGCATAGATGATCCCCGTGTTTAGCCACGTTTCGGTGACCGTAACCATATCTCAAGGTGGAAGGATCCGACGAATACGAAGTTTGGTTACCTTGCTGAGGAGACCTTGTGCATTGGAATACAAGCAGGTGGGGGCACCGGAGCGTAGAAGTGTGCTAGTGAATGGCAGCACTTTAGGGTTGGCTGCCGGTCGTCTTTTCGTAGGATGGTCGACGCAGGCCGTTGGACTATTCCGGGTTGTTGTGCAGAACACTCAGAATAAGCAGAAGGATGATCACACTCCCCTTTTGCAGCTGCCGGCTTATTTTGTCTTTGCCCCTC